AGCCCCGCTATGAAGGCTAACTGAGATTCCGTAAATCTAAAAAAAATTAATTATTCTCTAACAATGACTTAACAATGACTGACAGAAGGGCCTATATTAGAAATGAAACAATATAACGCGTATTGTAAAACTTATATTTTGTGTTATAACATTCACCGGCAAAGTTTACACAGGTGGTAAAGACTATTATTTATATTCTTTCACTCTGTCAAAAGTAAGATACATCCTAAATCTTCCGTTTTTGTTTTGAAAGTTTCCTAAAGACACGATGTGAGGAAGAAGAGGGAGATATCTATAAGAGAGACGGATTCACTACAGCACGGATGAATCTCACATCGGATTTTGGACTCGTCGGCTGAAATCATTTATTTGTGCCATTATTAATCTTTATTTATTAGTGTTTGTATAGTTATATAAATATATATTGATATTACTAAATAATTTATTAAATAATTTATTAAATAAATTATGAACGGCTGTGTGCTTTGTAATATGCTCTTCATACATCAATAACAGAATATTCCATTCCTATTCTATTGTTATAGCCACTAAGCACATTTAAATATGCTGAACTATGTGTTAAAAACATACTTTAAAAATACAATTGTTTATAAATGTAGCTTTGATAGATGTTTGAATAAGGTTTCCAGTAACAAAAAAATGTGATGTGATCGATTAAATGCGCTGATACGTCATTGTGCCTGCTAAACACATAACGCTGAGTGGAGTGGTGTACCGCTCCAAGATGGCCGCCCTAAATCTCGTCAGCGACAATAGGCTAGAGCGGTCCATTAAGCGTCTATTCTTATATTATGTCTATGTGTCTAATCGTCAGTAATATAATAGCGCTGTATAAATCATAAGATATAGCGACATGTAAAATTAGCAGCGCTTCGCTTTCACAGACGGTGGGGAGTTCGTCCAACTTTTAGCGAAACTTGGAAGGAAAGCTTAAAAAGGTAACCTCTGTGGATGTGATGCTAGCAAAGCTAGCTGTACTGACTGAGACATGTTGCATCTGCGATGAAAACAAGTTGTCACTCATGAGCTGAATTATTGTATGGAGGTGTTGACTGATGTGTCGCATATATGGGACAACCCTGTGACCACAGTCTGCAATGTAGTGATATGACATTCAGGAACGATCCGATTCTTCTGGACGGATCTTTACTGATTAAATTTATTTCAGCCCTAAGTATTTAATATCTAGGTGTTTTATGGGAATGTGGATCTTTCAGATCAATTTGAGAAGCAATTTTGATAGGTAAAACTTAATTGTGTCACATAGCGCGGGGTGCTGGTCTTGACTTGGTCTTGGGTTCGGTGGTCTTGACTACAACTCTGCTACGTGGCTCCTCGATTGCATGTCTTCCCTCCCACACCTTCTTTCCATCCCCTTTCTGTTGGATTTCTTTCTAAATAAATGTCACTAATGAAGTTCATGCTATGTTAGGACAGGAGACAAGATGTTTCCATCCCTGAAATTATGATGCATAGAATCAAATATCTAAGTCTAAACTATGTTACAGAGTAAACACAATGAAAACATGCTTGATCTGTGGCATTGTTCATTAAAATGGCACATTACTGATGTATTAAAATTAAATACGATCAGTTCACTTAATGATATTAGCGATTAGGTATTATTCAGCAAGTACTTTTACTTTTAATACTTAAGTATTTTTAAAAGCAAGTACTTTTTTACTTTTACTTAAGTAAAATGTTAATGTGGTACTTTGACTTTTACTTGAGTACATTTTTGCCTGTGTATTTGTACTTTTATTTAAGTACATTTTTTGAGTACATTCTCCACCACTGCCTATTTGCAAATCTGCTTGACCAAAATGGATTTTCATTGGTGGAAAATATAAGGTTATCTTATCAATCCTCCCAAAGTATCCACATAACTACTGTAAAGTACAGAAAAGGTTAATACATTCACAAAGTTCCACAATACCAAAACAGGATTTTTAAAAGTCATGACTGCAGTAACTTTTATTAAAAAATATGTTTGTTTTTTTAAACATATTTGTTAAAATGATCACAATATTGTGGCAGTAAACTATAAGCCAGATAATCTTAAAAAAAAGTCAAGCTCCTCTGACTTCCCCCTATGCTCCTGCTGTCACACATAAGCCTGGTCCTAATACTTACACTACACTCTATGCCCCTCTAGGAAGTGTGTACTCAGTTGAAGTGAACAAGGGTTTGAGTGAGCTTGCAATAATAAAAAAAATATTTTAAATATACAGAAGAGGTAGTTTTTTAGGTTCAAAAAGGGAGATACACTGGTCCATACTCCAGCAGATGGCGATAATACATCCTAAAGTTAGATGTCACCCGCTATTAAATATCAGAAAGAACAAGAACAAGGGCCCCTTTGCACGTCGCTTCCGGTCTGTTGAAAATGGCATTTTACACTCGGTGCTTGCTGGGCTTTCCCAAGGTAATGTTAATGATGTGCCTCGATCCAAACCCCAACAAGTAACCTGGAGAAAGGTTTTAAGATGTACGCCTCGTTATATATTCGAAGGTGAGTATTACTTTCTTTAAACTTTGTGGCTAACAATAACTTTAGCTTATGCTAGTGGTTCCATGGAAATAACACAGGGACGGCTCCTTTGTTTACCATCTTTCTCCCACCGGTAGTTTTAGGCGGAAGAAGCTGATCCAGAGTGACATGAAGGCTGGAAACTTAGCTGTGCGGTTGCATTAGCTTTAACTTGCAACGAATATTTGCAAGCCACCGTCTTCTTAATTTAAGATTGTTTGAAAATCCATGAAAACTTAAAAGCCCTTTATATTTGGAAGACAAAAATGTTCATGGTATTTCTTTATTTGCCTCTGAAATATGACTTTGTCTCTCTTTTAGGTGTCACTGTAACTCAAAGCAGAAGCAAGAAAGCCGCATTTCGCTCATGCGGATATGACGTCAGCGCCGGACGTGCAAATAGCCCATTGGGACCGGGCTCGTGAGTGACAGATTTCTGCTACCCTGCACTGTTTCATCAACGGAGCCTACAATGATTGCTAAGGCTAGTTAGCATGGCCACCAATGACAGTGGATAAATAGTTCTCCTGGAAAGGCCAATTGTTTCTATGTCATGAACACATTTTTTTTACAGATCACCTGTCCCATACAATTACCACATGGTGACAGTTTTAACAAATATGCAAAAAAAAAAAAAAACCCACCAACATATTTTTGTAAAAGTTGCATACTGCAGCTTTTGTTTCTATAATTACTTTTGCACCTGAAAATGAAAAGCTACCTTTACATTTCTAACCGTCAGCTCTTCCCTGCTGTATTATTCATGCCTCTGGTTCTGAATAGATTCTTATTTCCATTTGGTATCTTCCAAATGTATACAGATTAACCAAAGTATTCCCTGTTTGTTGGGTTGTGCCCATTCCTCCCAATTGTTTATTTAAGATAGTAGGGCAAATTAATTGTGTTTGATTGGCATTAACATAGCCAAATAAAAATTTGAATTTGGTAATATCGAATGCCCTGAGGGTGTCTGTGTCCCAACCCACAGCAGTACTTATCATGCCTTCTTCAGCTGCCTGGCAATGTTCCTGGAGAGAGCAGAGCTTGTTGGTTCTGTAAAACATTGCTGGGTGGCATTTGATTTGTTTACTGTCATGATGAACATCAAAACAATATGAGGAGCATATGCCCATGTTTTTGGATTCAAATCTGAATATTTATGTGGCTTCATTTGAAAATGTTATTACTTATCTGAACCGAGTGAGGAGTCCCAAATATGCACCTCTGCCTGGAGGGCTTTTGCATTTTCAGTAGTACCCATCTCACTACGAGAAAATGAACGAATTAGCACCTCTTGTCCGGTAAGGAATGAACCTAATTTATAATCTAATTATGACGATGTCTCAGGGATCAAATTAGCATTCCCTGTGTTTGCAAATCGGAGTAAATATGGAAATCATTGCATCGTTATTCCCATTTTCGTTCACATGAGAGTGCACATGAATGTCACTCTCTTTATGGTTCGGGCGCGATTATATTGTAAACAGCGTCCCCTGCTTTGTGAGCGGGGCTCGTCGCTGAACACATGGCTGCAGATAGCCTGTTTCAATACTCATTCATCTTCTCTACTCTTCAATTCTGGTGCTCAGCCAGCCTCGAAGTTAAGAAGCTGGTGAGGGAGGGCGTTAATTAACAGCAAGCCAGCAATCAACCGGAGACTTTCTTTAGGTTTACATCTTGTATGTCTCTCACCAGCCTGAATGAAGCCAAATATGTCACAGTCAGTGGGTTTTATTGGTTAGTTGGTAGTTTTATTCTCACATTGTACCTGGGTTAGTTAATGTTCTTGCGCTTCCCCCATCATTTAGTTACCCCAGTGCCTGCTTTTCATTGTCACCAGTTGCTTTTAAAAGAAATAAAGCAGCTAGTCAAATTTTTTAAATGTCTGTTGCTCACGAAAATAGCGACGGGTTGACAGTTTGGTGAATTTCCATTTTGTTCTCAGTTTTTTTTTTTTTTTTTTTTTTTTTTCCAAGGGGGTTTTTTTAATGTTTTTCCTGTTTTTCATTTTCCCTGTAACTTTGGCCTC